CTTTATAACACTTTCTGATTGTATATGTAAGCACTTTGTGTAAGAGTGTCAAAGGTCTTTTGAGCATGTGAACTCAATGGCCAGTCAGGTGTTTAAATTAGTCAGAATCCACTCAACAAATTTTTTTTATTCAGCACGAGTTCTGCACGCTCAAGAATCCTTTCGTTATTACCACAGTATAAATGGACAAAATAGATGTTTGTCTCCAACAGTGTACCCACTCTACATGCTATATTGCGGAGGTATATGTACAATTTTATGTGTCGGTTGAGTGACTCAAAAAAAATAGCATCATAATGGTGCTAAATAATATCACATTAAGTGATACAAGGTATTTTTCCTTTTTCTGGAGGCAGTGGAATGAAAGCTTATATGTTTTTTAAGAGAAATGTGTATGTTGTCTGTAAATCGATGTCTGTATGTATTGTTCTTGTTTCTACTTTGTTTGTTTTTTGATATGGACCCATTGGTCTGAAATAAAGAGTAATTCATTCATAATATAAACATGATGTCAATAATAGATTCCTTGATAGGTTCAGTGATTCTAATGGCAGCGACCTTTCTGTTTATAATAAATTTTTCATGCTGCTAATTACACATTGAAAAGTTTCTGGATTAACAACCCGCCTATTTAAATGTGTGATTGAATCCGATTGACGGTAATAACCATAGCAATGGACGGAAAAAAACAATCTGATACTGTATGTCAAATTAACTGTGCATTACGTTTTGAAGTATAAATGCAAAACAACAGACCTGCCACTGGCAGCCCCGAGAATAGGCTATATTTAAACTTCTCATAATAACAAAATAGTTCCTTAATGTCGTGTTTTGCACCATTGCTTTCAAAAAAACTAAAATCGAAAGAGCATTAAGGCTTTGTGTCCTTATCATACATTCACTTAAAGGTACAATATGTACGAATTTAAATCACTTGCACAGTGTGATAATATTTCCTGCAGTTGTGTGCTTACAATATCCAAACAGGTAAACATAACATGTTCCGTGTTTTGAGATGTTGAAAAATTTGCTGTGGCAGAGCTAATATGAGAGTTAAATTCTTTAGCAAATAAAGTGGAGTGTGAACAGAGAAACGGTAGTATTTCCAAAGATTATTATGCGCATGTAGGTGATAGAACCAGTACGTTGTTGGAATGTCTTTATGACAATTTTCTGCCTTATCAGCCACCGACACCCGTTTGGCTGCTGACCTCTTAGAGGTGGTGGAAGAACAGTTGTATTCGGATAGGCCTAGGGGAGTGGGGAGACCACCCGTGGATATCCCTGGCGAGGTCATAGAGGGGTATCTTATGTATGGGTTAAAGTTAAAGATATTGCGGTCTTGTATGGATTTAATCGATGGAGGGTACATTACCGAAGGCAGAAGTGTGGACTGAAGTAAACAACAACTTAAATATATTTTAATATACTCGTAATAATCTTCGGAAATACTACCGTTTATCTGTTCACGCTCCACTTCATCTGCTAAAGAATTTAACGCTAATATTAGCTCTGTCGCCACAATTTTTTTTCAACACCTCAAAACACATAACATAGCCATAACATGTTATGTTTACCTGTTGCCGAGCCCCGCCTTGACGCAGTGATTGACAGCATTTTCAATGTGCACACTGAATTTTGCTACGTTCATTGCGGGACATGTCATGAAAATGTAATCGCAAGTGTCTTGACTATGAGTGTAAATGCAATTAAGAAAAATAACATTTGAATGATCATTTTGCCACAGTTTTTGCTTGAACATGTTACACATATCTAATCATTTCTGTAGTGCAGTTTCATTTTAATTGTGCCACTTATTAAGCGTTTTAATATGCATATTAAAACTAGAGTATGAAATGGCAAATGTAAATTATGTAATTTAATTTCATTTTGCACCAAACGTTGCTAGAATGGTAATGCAAAATGTAAATTTAAATACAGAATGCAATGCTATTTTACATATTGCATTGTCATTTTGCATATTACATTTCAAATTGAATATTGAATACCCATATCCTTCCAAGTTCCATAGCAGACCAGGGGTCCCCTTGTTTTAGAGTATTAACTCAAAATTAGATCCCCCACACAGAGATACAGTAACAGGAAGTTGCATGACATTGGAATGTTTTTTTCTTTTGTATGTCTATGTCCTTTTAAAAATGTCATAAACATGTCCATATTGTTTTCCTGCTTCCCTGTCCCCCCTGGTACTCGGCAGTCAATGGTTCAGAAGCTCTATTCTGAGGAAGGACATGACCGAACATATTTCTCAAAGAGCAGCAGTAATCAATTCCTCAAACTTAAGCATGTGACTGGCAAACTCCAAGATATCAGCACAAGGGACACAATTCTCACACAAACACACCCGATCTCTAGAACAAAAAAAATGAACAGCACAGAATTGTCTGTCACATTATAATTAGTTTATTTTGATTCTTATTTAGCAAACACTATCACCTCATCTTCAGAGTTTGAAGTCAACTTTTTCACTCACAAGCCAATCTGGCAATTTTTTTTATCAACCATTCAGAATTTGTACTAGCTAAAACAAAAATAGCCTACTTACGAGAATTAACTCAGAAAATTGCCTTTCAAAGTGACAGCTTCGGTTTAAATACATTTATAATAAAATCAAATACATTGGGGTGAAATTTCAAACAGTGTTTTTGTGCCCTTAGGCAATACAAGAAAAAGTGTTTATCTTGTTGTAACCTCAAAGATCACTCCAAAATGTTAAATGGTAAACACACTGAAGATTAGTAGACAGGCTGTCAGTTCATAAAGTGATCAGTTGTTTCATCACAAAAACAATAAGGCCAATCCGTTCTCATTGCCGAGCATCCGATAATGATAGTGAAAGTCATGCACCAATATATCATGTGATATTCTCATGCCCTTTGAGTCAGTATATTGATGGCCAGCATCTCAATAAAAACAGTAAAGGCTCCTGTATAGTGAAACAAACCTATTTATGAACTATAACTTGTCAAATTGGATTTTAAGTTGATAATGGGTGATTATCAACAACATTTGGCAGATAAGTGAAAGTTAATTTCAAACCCTGCTCATCACTAAAAGAAACTGGCTTCTAAGATATATGTAAACCATTATTTTATCCACAATTATAACCCACAAACCTTTTTGATGGATCCTTCATAAAAACTCTTAAAGGGATAGTTCACTTTGAAATTAATTTTTGATATGTTTTAGCTTACCACAAGGGCATCCAAGATGTAGGTGTCTTTGTTTCCGCAGTATTTTCAATTTTGACATTTTTCAGTCAAACCGTTGTTGTCTATCAGTCATACACTGGAGGCAAAGAGGGTCCACCAAAAAGCACGCACAGAGAAGTCAAAATTAAACATGATTTAATGACTCGTAAATGTAAGTCCACATTGATGGCCTAAGACACGAAACGAGCGGTTTGTGTGAAAAAACAGTATTTATATCGTTTTTACCTCTTGTAATCATACCCATGACAAAATGATCTGACTGCACGGGCGCTTCGGTCTGAGCATGCTTGCGCGCCTACGTCACTCTTTGTTTATCCACAAGTTTCCGAGGGGCGCTCCTGTAAAAAATAAAGTGGGTGAAACTTCCGGTGACGCGGCGGAAGTAGCATTCCAATGGTATTTTGTGTGTTAGTTAGCGAAGAGGCTAGCTGTTTTTCTGAGAATTATTTCACTATTTAAAGACGCAAATCTTTATGAGAGATGTCGTTACGGAGCTCAGGGACAACATGTGCTGTTCGCGGTTGTATGTATAGCCGAAATAAACTAATTTAGTGGCTTAAACGGGATTGTTTTGAACATAAGCTGAAAACGAAATCAGAGTGATCCAGCCAACGACTGTAGTTTCCATCATCTCCCAAAAGACGACGAATCTTCCTGTGTACATTTGTTTAAATTCTTAATGTTCTATAAACTATCAGCATGTGATTGGCTGTTCGCTACTGATGTTACACCTAAACTCAGGATCAAAGCCTGTGTTGACAGAATACCAAATGTGCCAGTTAATGTATTCAAGTAGCACATTCATTTATAATTTTGAATAAACTCCAAAGCACAATGACTAAGTGTTTATTTTTTATTTTAATTGTTTGTCAGCTCGCACAACTGTCTGTCACCATGCCTTGATGAGTATTGATTATTAATAATGTTATTATAATACTCCCAGCCAACTACTGCGGAGGGTAAAGGTACTGTTATTTCACCCTTTTGAATTTCGTTGAGGTTGTGTTCCCACATCGTTAACTAGTTTGGATCGCTATAACTTGAATGACTGTCAACTGTTGAATGAACGAGTGTCAAGCGTGTCAAATCGCGCTTTGTTTACTTCCAACCGGAAGTCGCGCCCACTTTTGACGCAAGGCCTCATGGGGCGTAGGAAACTTGTGGATACAGAGATTTCGGAAGTTTTACCTTTCACTAAACATATTTAGATATACGGGAAACCGCAATGGAAGACGATTTCGGTATATCTAAATATGTTTAGTAAAAGGTAAAACTTCTGAAATCTCTGTGTAAATATTGAGTGACGTGACACGCAAGCGATCACTTCCAGCGTAACATTGAACTGATTCAGTTCGGTTCAGTTGGACATTGCACAACTGATTCAGATCACTTGGACGTCACTGTGATTACACGAGGTAAAAACGATATAAATACTGTTCGTTTTCTCACGAAAACTGCTCGCTTCGTGTCTTAGGCCATCAATGTGTATTTACATTTACGAGTCATTAAATCATGTTTAATTTTGACTTCTCTGTGCATGCTTTTTGGTGGACCCCCTTAGCCTCCAGTGTGTGACTGGGACAACAACGGTTTGACTGAAAAATGTCAAAATTGAAAATACTGTGGAAACAAAGACACCTACATCTTAGATGCCCTTGAGGTAAGCTAAACATTAATTTCAAAGTGAACTATCCCTTTAAATCCCTCTTAAAGACATTTCTTAAATGACAGTTCATATGAATTGCAGAATATCAGGCATGATCTTACCTGTGTTTTTCCAGCTCATTGTGCGATGACCTGAACAGGAAATAAATAGGAACAAAAATGAGCATGTAAACCTCGGCATATAAAAAGGGGGCAGAACTGGAGAACTCAGTAGCTCTGAACAACTGCCATAGGATGTTTTTATAATGATAGTGATGTTGTTACAATCTACAAATTTTTGTAGGTGTGGTGTGAAATAGTGGTGATGTTCTTCATGAAATGATGTGGTCCAAAAGTAGCATCAAAGAGCTGCATTTGTCTGTTAGCACACGTGCCATTAGTCAAGATGTTGTCTATTGACAAAATTAACAAAAATGCCCTTTTTTTAATAAATATTCAATAAAATTATCAGTACAACCGAAGAAGCTAATACTATACATTTTGAGTTTAAATATATTTATAAAATAATGATATGCTTTTGATGCATCCTGGCCACTCCACATGCTGTTATGCTCTGAACTCTATATTATAGACAAAACACAACAATTTGGCATTCCCTTCCTGTGTGTCTATTAGGCCAATATCACTGTAAGTAAGGCACCAACCGCATGCACTAAGTGACAGAGGAAATTCAGCACGCTACGACGCATTGCTATTTTAGTCCAGAGCATAAATGCTGGCGTGTATGATAGGGCAATAACATGTTCTCCAAACAAACAAAACAGAGATTATACTCAATGCGAGATAGAAACAAAATATATGGGTCATAGCATCAGTTGTTTATTGCGTCGAAGCTGCAGTGTGCACTCTCTGCACGACTAGCATCATCATGTGTTTTACGTCTTCCTTATGAGTCTGTTTATTATAAAAAAACATGATTGAAAATACAGCTAAAAGGCTAGCGCAGAATACATGGTGTTGGGAGAAAAAAAACATTAAACTACTAAAAATCCCCACTTTTATCTGATGTTTTTAGAATCTGGGAATCAATTGGAAAAGTATAGTAAGTAAATTTTGGTAAAAAGTAAAAAATAAAAATAAAAATAAAAACACAAATTTCCTGGATATCCCATAGATTTCCTCTTTTCAGTGCTTTCTATGCACATGTGGGGGAAGGGCAGCACACTAGGCTCCAGCTGTTTTGCTTTGACATTGCAAGGAAAGGGGACTAATGCAGCAAAACAGATCCAGGGGTCAACTCTCCAGCAGCTGACTTGAGTCTATTCACACCACACCCAACAGTGAGAGTTTAACCACCACACCTGATCTACAAGCCCACTGTCTATGACATGCATGTCACATCAATGCTCATATTTAATAAAGTCAAAAAATTGTGATTTGTGAGAAAAACATTACTTCTGAAGTCACTGTTTTCAGTGTGCAAGAGTGTGTGATCAAAAAATGTTTGACAAATCATTTTGCATACACACTTTACTTCCCGTTAAATATTACAAATCCTTAAAAATGAGCTGACGTTGGCAGGAGTGTTTAAACAAATAGTTTTTGTTAATGAATTACATGCATTTACATGAAAATGATTGAGCAGAAGGGAGATGACAGCAGTGGAAAAGGGAAAGCAGCAGCAGCAGCAGCAGCAGAAAGTTGACGCTGTACGCGTGGCAATGTTTATACACAGCCAAGCCCATCAACAAAAATGGCGATTACACGTAGAATAGACATAGTTTGAATGCATCCATTCGTTAATAGGAATGTCCTTGTATTGTATTTACCTATTGTTGTGGTTTTTTCTTGAAATGGGAGAAGATTTAGTTTTCTTTCTGGAGTCGCTGTCGTACGGCAAAACAGACGCATAACCGTGTTCAGCTTCTAGTGAGAAAGTAAACACAACCAGCATTAAATATTATACAGACTTGTGTGATTCAGCGAACAACAACAATTTAGACGGTTAGAAAGTTAGACACTTAATATGTTTTCGCGTCAAGCCGTTTAAAATGACCAATTGTGTTTCTCTTAACTTATTGTAAAGCAAACAACCAATTCCCCGGGTTACATTTGACGGAAAATGAAAACGAATCAATATTTTAGGTTGTGATGAATGACACATGTAAGTTAAGTCATCTTATCCCGATAACTGAATATTTATTGACTTTAGTAGTAGCTCACAGTAACAAGATGCTATCGTCCTATTGGGCTTGAATTAAACTAACGTTACACTTGATCAGCTGGCAGGTTTGTAAGTGGCATTCGACCCCAGCAAAGAAAAATTGCAAATACAAAGATGGTTTTAGTTGACCACACAGACATCCATATACCTCTGTCTCTTCTTTCCAAATACTCTGCTGCCTCAAGAAGAAGTAGAAGAGAATTAAGTTCCATCCTGCTGTATTTACAGAATTAAAAACAATACAAAAACGCATTAACACTGTATAACAACAAATTTAAAACAAATGGGGGAAACAAAAACAAAACAAATAAACAAAAAAAGTGATGACGCTCGATATGAACAGTTCAATTCCGAGTCGTAGAGACTCTCGACAAAAATGAATGCAGACTGCACGTAAACTAAATTCTGAAGCTCGATTGATGGCTTCCTCGCCCAATCAGATAACAGAAAAGTATGAAAGGCGGAACTTAAAAACATGTGTATCCAATCAAAGACTTCAAAGAGTGAAGCTCATGGGAAAGATGTTGACACATTGAGAAATGTCATCTGATTGGTTAGTCAGTGATAGTAACAAGGTTGAAGCCATGCCCTAGCAACAGTACGTGTGACTCAACCCCTTAATCGCTCATTGGACTGACGCACCCTATACTAGCACCTGGTTGGCCAAAGGAAATACTGGGTGTGTTTTCTAATAACCTCGTTTACTGAACTATGCTGGCAGTGACAAAGTTTTCTCTGGAAGAACTCCGCGAAAGGAAATGTTTTTGAAAATCAAGTTTCTGAGGTTTACTTAGACACTACCACATTAAGGATAATACAAATCGCCGCCTATATTCACGTGTAAAAGTCAGATGTAGCCTAAATTAGTTTATTTTTCTTTAAATTAAACCATCAAAGTTAGATGATACCCATACCCATTTCTGATAGAAATGACGCCAAGGGCGCGGTCGACTCTGAAATGGTCATCCTTCTTTCGAAGTGGCTATTTCCTGAGGTTCAAAACAGTCTATAACAGAAGGATATATATTCAGATTTTGTAAGTGTTAGAAAAAAATATTTATATATTTCTTTGTATATTAGTAATGTATTCTTGAAAAAAATGTTTTGTTTTTGATTATTTGCAATAAAAGTAATAAAAAAAAAACTCAGCTATAATGTAATAGCTACCATTGCAGCTAAATACCACTAAAAATTTTGCTTTATAATGATGGCTATCACCAATCAAGTTTTTCTTGATTATTTTTTTAGCAAGGACCTTGGTTCTTGTTGTCATTTAGCAGAATTTGCAAAACAACAGTTTTCAAAACCAAATGTTTATTTCCAAGTCATAAAACACATTTATTAATTTCTCAAGGCTTTTAAAATTAGGAGACATGAGTAGCTTACTGAATTACAGTATATGATTTTATTAAGTATTAAATAAGAAGTTCACCCAAAACTGAAAAGTCTTTCATATTTACTCACACTCATGTTGTTTATCATGTTATGATTTTGTGAACCATATCAACTGCTTCATTACAAATATCATAAAAGTTTAAAGCTTGAACATATGACAGATTATTAGTTTTGGCTGAACTGGCCTATTCCTTTTAACAATATATTCTTTTAGGGAAGAAAGAGTATAAATATTGAGCTGTGTTATCATCATCATCATAGACCAGTGAAAAGAGACAGTTAAACACATTATTTTTTTAGACTGGGAAATGAGAGAGGGGAAAGAAGACGAGAGAAACAACAAGAAGAATGAGACAGAAAGTAGAAATCGCTGACCTCCGCTCACTCTGTGGACAAAAAAATAAATAAATAACACAGCTGTTTCTAATTGGTAACTCGGCACCGAATGCTGACCTACATTCTGCTTGAGATTCTGAACTCGGCAAAGGAGAGAGAGGGAAAATAAGACAACACACAGAGGTTAAGTTGAAAACATGAGCATTGATTTGTGGAGGAGCTGAGTAGGAAAATCTAAAATAAGATAATTTGTCTCACTCCAAAAGGTATTGCAGTTCTTGGACACACTAGTCACCTCGTCTATGCTTGAAAACCTTTATACAACCCTGTTGTATAGTGCCCAAATGCCCATAGGGTTAATCCGGCCCTGCATTTGTCGTGTTATCCGAACGTGCTTCATTGCGAAATGCCAAAATAAAATGCAATCAAATCAGCCATTTACTGTAAGGGAATTTATTCAATCACTACCACTTCTTATACATGCTTCATGTTGTTAATTTTGCATGAGGTACAGAGGAAACTTTTTAATTTAAAGATTTGTTTTTGTTTTTTAATGAGCACTTGGTTCTTGGAACAGTCAGCATGTTGGATGTTCAGGAAGGATGTGTATATCATTTACATGTTTAAGTTTTACCTTTTTTACTGTTTGTTTTTACAACAAAGCTCAGGCGAGCTCACCCATAGGCTGCAGCAGTTCCCTCAGAGCGAACCAATGAGCTGCTGGTTAGCCCGCTCATGGTCTGCACCTGAACTGCGTTGACAATGGATACAAAAATTAGGATAATTTTTTTCTGAGAATAACTTCTCAGAAAAGATGAATCTTTCCCATAGCGTTAGCTAGCTTACGAGAACCTCTCGTAAGAGAACTGTTATCTGTGCTGTTGTCCAGTAACTCCAGTCGGAATTTTCACCCCAAAATGGCGGCCGGGTTACCGAAGCGCCACCTAGTGGCTGTTACCAAAAAAGCATCAGAGTTTCGCCTCATGTTCTTCTACAAGCTAGCTTAGTAATAATTGTTAGTAATAGTAATAATCGTCTAGCTAGCTTAGTAATAATTGTTGAGGGAAACGAAGGCAAAGTGGTGATTTGTGTGCATTTCGCAATTGCAAGAACAAACCTAATAAATGTTCATCGTGAAGTTTACAATTCAATTGAAATTCTCAAACTCAAAAAGTACATGGAAAAAAGAAAGGATTCAACTTTGGATTATTTCTGCGGGCTTGGACAAGGAGACACTGGCAGAGACCATTTTAGAGCCAGGCGACTTTAAAGAACCATTTGATCGAAACGGTGACAGGTTTATGACAAGGAATGCAGTTTAGCCGTCTTTCCAGCTGCACCAACAGCAACAGATGTACAGGTAATACATTTTGTTAGGCTACTCTAGCTATCTAATGAAGCTAGCCCTTTCATAACTGATAAATTGACACTGACAATGTTAGTGGAGAATAGATAACAGCTCAATGCATTGTGTAGAGTGTATAGTCTACCGTAAAACTTCAAATAATAGCCGAGTCCCAAACAGACGCCTGTATAAACTCAGATATAAACTCAGATTAAGACTTACAGCAGCACCATTTTATAACTCAAAAATTGCAAAAAGAACTATAACAAATGAACCAGTCAACACTGTCTTAAAAAGTACACCATGTTAAAATTGGCATCGTCGGGTATTAAGATGAAAACATCTCATGTAGAAAGAACGATTTCACCCTGTCCTTGAATAAAAGCTCTGCCTCCGACGAAGTATGCCATCTTTGCACGTGTCTTCTGAACCTCTGGCCACAGCTTTCTCCTCCTCTCACGGTCTCCAGCTGAAAAGTCCTCCATGAAACGCAGATCATTCTGTTTCAGATATGAAGAATTCTTTGCGGCCTTCCAGACAGCGTCTCTGTAAGAACGGACAGAAAACTGCATAATGGTCGCCTTGGATCTTCCCACGTCACCTTGTTGAATCTTCCAGAGACGATGAACTACGTCAATAATTTCTGGAAGCTTGTCCTTTAGGAAGGCACTAGGAAGGACTTTTGGACAGATCTTGATCACTTCAAGGCAGATGTCCTCGTGCACAGATTCAGGAATCCCGCCAATCCTCAGATTACGCCTTCTCAAATACGTTTCCATGTCATCCGTCCTTCGTTGCATCTGCACTATTGGCCGTTCAACATCATCCAAACGTCGCTCAAGACTTGCAACCTTGTCAATAACAGCCTTCAATTCGGCGGACATGTCTGAAATGTGAATGTCATGTATGATTCACTCTGGGTGATGGGCAATGCTGGAAACTCCTCTTTAACTAAACTAAACATATCATCCTGAGACGCGACCACGTAATCATGGCCACCGCTGGCCATGCACGCATTACCATCAGGTGGTTTAGCAGCGACCGACGAGGGAATCAAGTGACCATGTTTACGCCCAGGTATTAACACAGAAGTGAGGAAAACATAAAGTCAGAGTCGTACTAAACTATGAACAAAGTGTACAAATAACTAAAAGTTCTTTTTGCACTGTCTAACCACAGTTGGTTCAAGAGCTCGGACAAACACGTCTGATCAGGTCGCCATCTTGGACTTCCCCCCACGCTGCTCCCATTGGAATACTTGATCACTCGAGTGTCACTCCTCAGCGTCATCAGCAGCACTCAAAGGATCTGCCCTTATGTTGTTGAAGTTTGGTTATTTAATAAATTCATAAATAACAATAAAGGTAGGCTATACTGTTGAAATGTGTGAGATGTGTGGCTTATATAAACTGCAAAAGGTAAAGGATAAATTAAAATGATTGTGACCGATTTGAAGGGGGAGGAGAATTGATATCTGTGTCACGTTTATTCAATAAAACAGTTTCGCATAGGATACATCTGTGTATCCTCACTCATGCCTCCTCTGGAAGTCTCACTCCTCGATCCTCGACTCCTCACAGTGCAATTAGAGAATTGAGATGTCCTTCAAGATGGCCTAGCTCCGTTGGTTTCCGGGTCATAGGAGGGAGGACGGAGGAGCGAGGAGACGAGGAGGGATATTGAGAAGCACCCATTGACTTTGCTTGAACACACTGCCGTCCTAAACACGACTTCCCACCTACGAACTTCCCATATATGGAACTGGAACTTCCCCAGGAGGACTTGAACGCTCTAGGGTCGTCGTGGTGAAGGTAGGGGCAGAGACTATGGCTGGTTCTCAATATCCCTTCTCGTCTCCTCGCTCCTGCGTCCTCCATCCTATGACCCGGAAACCGATTGAGCTCTGCCATCTTAAAGCAGCATTATGTTATTTTTGAAATTTTGCTCTCGGGGTCCCCTTATAGTTGGGAAACAGTATTGTCTTCTAGTACTGTCGAAAAATCTGTCATGGTTATACTACGGAATACATGTGTGCATTTGTTGACAAGCCATACCCCCGAACTCTGCAGAAGGAAGGAGTTCTCACATCTTGGGCAGACTCCAGTGTTGTGTGTGAAATGTCTTCATCAAAGGTACATTGGCATATATTTCAGCATGTCTAATGAATATAGTGTCATGGGCTTTCTTTTTTTTCAAATGTCAAAATATCGCGTAGCTCATGTTTACAAGCCAGCGTCTTTATAGTAATGTTAGCCTATTGGCTACTGTTTTACATAATGGATATGCTAATTCAATTCAATGTTTGTTGGCAGATAATAGCCATCTCATCAATATTATAATATCAAGCTACCATAGATGAATCTGCATATTTGAAAAAAACTATTTGTATTATAGCCTGAGGCAAGATACTTTCACCAGAAAAATAACAAACATGACTATCAGCCAGCAGACATAGGATAGTTCCTGACTGATTATTTTGTTCGTCTAATCATGTATTATTTACTTGAAAGAATGTAGCTCCCACCAAACTCAGGCCCCGTCCACACTACTGCGTTTTTGTTTAAAAACGGAGACCTTTTGCTACGTTTGCACCTCCCGTCCAGACTAAAATGGAAAAAAACGAAGACCTAAAACAGAGAAGTTTAGAAACACTGCAGCTCCGTTTTGCGTTTTGAATCTCTGGAGGGCGTTTTAGCGGAACAAAACGGAGGAGTTTAGAAACGATGACGCAGAGGCTGACGCTCGGCTCTATGATTGCCTCCACGTTTCCCCTATTGCACGCAAGCTTCTTTTCCTGTCCATACGGTAAACTCTCTACTATGCGACAGAGAGTCACTTGGTTTTTGACGCAATCGTCAGCCTACTTTTACAAAAAACTGCTTCTACGGGGCCATAACATAAGCTACAAGGTAATGGAGCATTTTATACATTGTCGTGTTTCTTTAGAAATAAATAATGTACAAATGGGGTCTTCAAACGCCTCAGATGTAAAGTTATTCGCTGTCAATGTGACGCCAAAATTAATGGGAGTCAATGGAAATGCTAACGTAAGTGAAGTTCTGTTACAAGATGGCAGCTCCTGCGAGGCTTCAACTTCCGGTCGATAGATTACCCTCTTGGAAGCACCCTATGCTGTTTCTCTTTTGTTACTCTAATCTAGAGTATGGAGTAGACCAACTCACTTTCTGGAGGTATACTGCCCCCATCTGGAATGGAATGTGGAGTATGAATTGATTTTTTGACACAATAAGGCACCTTTCATATTTCAAAAATAATTTTATCGAATTATGTATAATAGCTAATGTTGTACTCATTAACTTAGTGATTTAATAAATCATATGATTGACTATAACTGAATTATAGTCTGTTTCTGATATGCAACATATCGCTGATACCTATATCAATAGTGAAAGTGGAATACTGTTTCTGATATGCAATATCACTGATAGCCTATCATGATTTTGTTCCATGTACTATTGAACGCATGACCTAAATTAATTCATGTAAAATAATTATTATAATACATTTTAATTTATAATAAATAATTTATAATAATTTGGTGCATGGATTCATGTGGTAAAATTTTTAAATAAAAATGGATTAACCAAACAAAAAAAAAACAAAAAAAAACACAATTAAAGAGCAATTCTTACACCAGTGTAAAGTTGTAGTGGAAACATCAGTATTGTGGTGACAGAGACATCTGGTGGCGTAGGCTACTGGGGAATTGAAAGACTACAGACACATTACAACACTGGTTAAATCATTAGTTTTCCCTTACAATGTGTTTTTTTTTTTTTGTATTCAACTTTACAGTATTTAAAAACACACAGATCTCTACTTATAGACAATTATATCACATCAGACACAATGTGTGGACGTGCAAAGAAAAACTACAGGATTGAAAAATCAATCACAGTTATGTTGGATGTCCAGAAAGCGTCAGATATAAAATCCAGCACATTTTAGTAAGGGTAAATGTAAAGGTCAACCAAATTACATTATGGCCTTATATTTTAATATTTAAGTAAGTTGACTATTTACACTACCACACTTTTCTTTTCTTTTTTCAGTTTATGACTATACATGGTGTCAAAATGTGCACAACTCCAAAAAATGTATTGTGTTGTTTACCAAAGAAACAAACTCGTCAATCTCCGCCTAGTTTGTCATTGCTATGAGATTGGACATGGCTCTGAGATTGGACAAAACAGTTCATTCCAGCCCATAGACTGTAAAAGTTCCAGCCCCTTCAGTCACTCCCATTACAAATCCAACTCATGAATATACATTTAGTAATGCTGACGTTGCTTTGTAGGCTTCCTGGAGCGTTGGACCAGTCGGACCAGTCGGGGACCAGTCACGTAACACCTTTAATATTCATGATTCACAAGTCACGTTCATTCGTCCACTTTAGAACAGTCCTACTTGACGAAACACACGTTACGTAATTAATATGCATAAGGCTCACGCTACTCATGTGACGTGCTCTGACTGAGCTGTCTGAAGTTGAAAACACTGTCCATGTTATTGCTTCCTCTCTGCAACGTGCGTGCTGCACTTCTAATGCAAATTTTATTTGTTGACATTTTGACTGGAATTATTAAACAATATATTTGAACCCGAATCTTCTCATTTCCCTCAAGGATTGTGTACTCTACTACCAGCTACATTACTGCTAGATTTTAAGTGAGAAGCGAGCCTTCAGTTTAAGGTGAGGTTAAGCTCAATGCATTTATGACTGAAACTTAAATTAAAACGGTCAGATCAGGTATGGTCAGACACGATGTGTTTTGTTGTTGTTTATGTAATCACGGGATTATCCACGTTTGATATTGATGTGGTTACTAACTTACTTGTTTCCGTGATCTGCAGGCTTAGGAGGACGGTAAACAAGCGTAATGGCGACTGAGATTGAAGCCTGGACCACTGCCACCCAAAACGATGGTACGAACATTAAAGCAATGATTGCCTTTACAACTGCTCATTTATGTATTCAACCTGCGTTTAGCTAATCAATGCATAGGGTTGATCTTTTACGGTGTCGTTTTTGCAGACGACATAGATTTAACTTTGCACTCATGTTCCACCATGTGCTCTGGCTTGTATGTGTGTGGTATGAACTTGTAGAGAAAAATAATCGTTGCATTATTGCATTAATACTAAGATTTCACTGGTTGTTATTGTGAGCACATAAGCTAGACAACTCTTTTCATGCAAAACGTTTTGCGGATATGTATTTCTTTTTTATTTTTATTATTATTATCTGATATAATGTAGTCAGATACAAGCAACATTATTTCCCCATATATTACATAAATTAACTATCGTTAATAATATGAACTCTACAACTTGGTACCAACAGTTAACCGCAAACGAGCTTTAGCATGTAAGATTGTCATATTGCTGCAAATTTTGCTTACGAACAAACCAATATGGAATGACCACTTGTGTCATTAAATACGTTTCTTTTCTTATTCCATCTATTTATATTTGATCTTGTATGCTATAAAAATCATTACTCTTCTTTGTTAGGGGAAATTTGCTACAATATTAAAACATACGCCCCCTTGCTGAAATACCCGGATGTTTTTGTTCTTGCCACAGGAGTTTGAATATTAATGTTTCATGATATGTTTTCGCGATTTTCTTTCAGAAATACAGCGTCCAGATCCGTGCTATGTGTGATCAAAAGCACGTGCCATGGTCTTTGTTTTTGATTGCGCACAGAACTTCGCTTGAATGGCTTCCATTCATTTATCTTATCTGATGACATAAGCATAAAGCATTTTAACCGACCAAATGTGGGTTCTTGTAATATTTGTATTGCTATATTGTGCGCAAACTAAATTTAAATAATAAATTTTTTTTTAAAAGGTTTAGGAAATTTTTGACACACACACACACGCACACATTGACATAAAATATTATTGAGCAATAATATGAATAATGATTGTAACATTGTAGCTCTTACAACTAATTTTAACAGGCATAATTAGGCATGAAAATAACTGAAGGATATATTCATTTGCTAAGCCTACTAAGTTGATTCATGTTCTTTTGGTTTCTCTGCCCAATATTTGTAAAAATTTAAATGTATTATTAAAGGGATAGTTCACTCAAAAATGAAAATTAAGTCATTAATTAGTAGTACTTGTAGGCCTGAGATGAGAGTTCAAGAGATTTGCACGACGCATGCGCGAGAACTGAACTGAAGTAGTTGAAGATCGCAATTCTTGTGCATGCGTCGTGGAAATTTCTTCAACTCTTGTCTCAGGCCTACAAGGAAGAAAAGGAATAGTCAAATAAAGTCGTTATTTTTGTTGTTGTTTTTTGCACAAAAATTATTCTCGTCGCTTGATAAACTTATACTTGAGCCACTGTTGTCACATGGAATATTTAAACATTTTCTTCATTGACTTTCTGGGCCGTCAAATTTCATTCCCTTAGGCAGCCTATGTAGCAGTGATCCACCTTTCAAATTTAATCAAAAATATTTTCATTTGATACATGTATTATAAAAAAAAAAATGTTTGCATGTTGAATGTGTGTATTTGTTCAGCTTGTAACAAACAAATGAGATAATTTTGACCCCATACTATGAAAACCTGCCAATTTTTGGATCCATTTGTTTAACAATCATACTGCATAATGTGTAATACACAGATTAGAAAGGCAAATTTGCACTACTGACTGGATGTGTTGTTGTAAACTGGGTCTAATGTACACCCCCAGAAGATGTCAGAGGTGAAAAAGCCATAGTTGTCAAAATAGATAAGACGTTTTCCGTTTTATCATGTCATATTGTCCTTATTGACAGTTAAACTGCTGGTGGTTAAACACACCTCCTGTTTTCCTGCTTGCTTAGTACTTAATACAAAAACGACTCAACATTGTTGTTGAGCAATTTTTTTTGTGATGTTGTTTAAACCTCTGGTGGCCTAGTCAAAATTTTTACAGAACATAGCTACAAAATGTTGAAGTAAAACTTTTGATATGGCCCTGCTGTGCCCATTTTGCATTGCTGTTCCTGGTGCTTTTTAACTGGTTTAAACACTGTAGTAACTACAGTGTGGCTTCTCGTCTGATTGTAGCTAGTATTTTAGGACGGGAGTATTTATTACCATGAAGGCCACTCCTACTCCTCCTTTCAAACACCCCCATCCACCCCTATGTAGACTGTACACTGCCATATGTAGTCAGGCTCGGCAAGAGCACCAGAGAGGCGTCAGAAAAAGCAAAGTCAGCTTTTCTGCTAACCTTCTGCTGCTGCTGCCCTGTTTATCTCTTCATTTGCTTGTCCTTTTCTGTAGTCCATTGAAAGCAGAAAAAACACTTTTACACTGTAATGTTGTTTCAAACCTGTATGCGTTTTTATTTTGAGTCTATCCCTTTAAAACAGGGTAGCAAATTGTTTGTCAAGATGTCTGTTTTTGGATGAACCTCAGCTCATATTTATTGTAGTTCTGAGATTAGCAAAGAGATTAGCTTTGTGACATTGACTTGAAAGTGGACTCACTTTTTACCTTGTGTTCTGAAATATGTTTTTTTATACATTATGAGAAGTACTGCATTTCATGGGATATACTATCACGTTATTATTTGCATTTCCATAACACTTGCTCTGTTTGTGCATTGCATTGTTTAAAATCTGCTGCTCAGTAAATTACAATAATGTGTATAGTTTTTTCCCCCATTTTATTTTAAATGCCAAGATTGTGCAAGAATCTGAAATTCAGCAAATTAAACCTCTTGAATTAAGATGTTTGCATGCTTTTAGAGCTTAGAACTAGAACTTTTTTATGGTTTATCAGAGGTGAATATGAGACATGACCAGGTGTGCAGGAAAGATAAACATTGCTGCATGATGAAATGAAAGCTGATTGATCATTAAACTGCTTAGGATGATGCATATATAATGTCACTTGAAAATGTAAATAGTCTTTTTAGGCTTAAAGGAGTAGTAGTAAGGGCTTGTGTTTTTCAGGAGCCTTTACTTACATTTAAAGTAGTTTATTAAAAAATAAAACCAACAATATTCATAGCCATTTGTCATCATTTGTGCTATTGCCACACAATGCCAAATTATATAAAAGTTTATACAAATGTATAAACTAGATTAGTGCACCAAGCTAGGAGTATCTTAATTGTTGTCCATTCTGTCTTGTGTCTGGTACAGGTGTGTTCTCACTTGAGAAAGAGCAGGATGGGGTGGATGGGACTTATGGCAGTGAGGATCTGAATGAGTTGGAGGTAAATGGGAACTGGACCCCTCAGGAAAAGGCCCTGCATGAGGCCAGACTGAAAGCTAAGGCTAAACGGCGCCTGCGCAAATCATCCTCCCGGGATTCCACTCGGGAATCACTTTCTGAATCGGTTTCTGGAGAGCTTTCTACCGATCCACACAGCCCCAAGGGTAAAAACGCTGTAAATGATCGAAAGTCACGGACTGGAAAAGGTCGCGGACTGCCCAAAAAAGGTGAGATTGTGAAATAAGAATTGTTGTCTAATTATTTGTTTTTTCCAATATATTAATTAATTAAAGAATGATGGACACCAAATTTAGATGCAATACTAAACCACAGAGCAGGATCCATTTAGCCTCCAGTGGCACAATTTTCCTATTTTTTGATAGTAACTTTGTGTGGTATGACCAAAATCTTACATCACTGTTACAGTATTTATCATCATGACATATATATATATTTAATGGATCCGATTCCAAACCAAAAAATATGGTAACGGGTATAAAAGTTGCCTCTTATGTTCTAGTTTCTATTGGATAAATGTTTTATATTTCAAATTCCTACCTTTTGCGTTTTTGGCATTCTTATAACTGTTTTATTCTTATTGCTCCTATGAATAGGTGGAGCAGGTGGTAAAGGTGTGTGGGGAGCAGCGGGTATGGTATATGAGGTGGAGGAACCTGACGCAAAAGACCCCAACTATGATGAATCTGCACAGGTAAGAGTACACCTACTGTTAACCTTTGCATTCTATACATGAAGAATACTAGTACACTTTACAAAATATTCCTTTTTTTTATGGGCATTGAATGTATACATTCACAGTACCAGTCAACACCTGGACCCAGATATGCTGTTTATTTGTCAGCAAATGTCTGCCAAATGCAAGTAGTTTGTCCAAATTTATAATACGCATATAAAAGTAGGCAAAAAGTACTTGGATTATCTACTATTACTTCCGACAAGGTTCTGAAGTGTGTATTTTCTGGAAACTTTGCTATCACCTGAGGCCATGGTACTGGATTTGTGAATGGCAGTGAAGTGACGCAACTAGACGTGCCGGTATTCGGTAATGTGATAAATTGTGGTAATGAATATGCACGATATTGTTATCAAGGGGACTTAAAAATACTTTGAAAAATAATAGATCTAAATTTAGATTTTTAGAACGCACATTAGCTTATTTTCCATCAACCGCTTAAAGGCATACTCCACCGTTTTAATGTCATATTAAACTGTTATTCCCTTAACTAAGAGAAGTTGATGCATACCTTTCTCGTCTCATTGCGTGTGCTCAATCGCTGTGGCGCGCGAGACACTTTGATAGCACTTAAGCGACCAATAACCTCCACGTTTTCCCTATTTAAATACAGTTACATCAGTAGCGTAACTTGACCAAGAATGGTGACACAAAATAAAACGTTGCACTTTTTTAAGCGTGTAAAGTGTATAACTACAATGTATGGCGGAATAACACAGCAAGTGATTGGGAGCACTTCGACTCGGCGCATATATTTTTATGGACTCGGCACAGTAATATCATCATTCTGGAGAGGGAGAGGATATTTCACGAGTGATGATATTACTACGCCGAGTCGAAGTGCTCCCAAGCACTTGCTGTGGTATTCCGCCATACATTATGAAAAAACGGTGGAGTATCCCTTTAAAAAACACTGCGTACGCATTTGTATAATACATGTATAAGCATTGTGTGCATGCAATACAGTGCACACACTAGTCTAATGTAAACAATCCACACATGGAGAAGAAGCATAGAGGAAGGAGGAACGCTGCCAACGATTTATCCCCCTTCTAAAAGCAGGGCTGCCAACACACATTGACCGTGAGACTCACACAATTGACACTTTTCCTGAATATTATAACCCCAACTTTTATCTGTGTGCTGCACATTTTACGGAGAACAGCTTCCAGAAACTAAGAGAGTACAATGCAGTCTAAGCACAAAAGCTTCTCCTGAAATGGAGCAGTTCTCACTTTGTCGGATATGTTGTCTATTGTTTGTGGATTACAAATTGCAAGTATGTCTTATTATTTCTTGTTGCGATTTCTATCAACAGTTCTAATAAGTTTTATGTTGTTGCTACAATGTAAGCAAAGGGCGAAGCTTTAGCTCCACTCGCCTGCTAGCCAACATTAGTCATATTGTTTACTGTAGCTTTTGTAAGCTCTTGCTTTTGTAAGGCTGTTCACCGCCCCTTAGGAAAATTAACGATGGTTTTGTGATCGATAACTGTTTGTATTGCCATAGTTGTCCAACAAGTATCATGATTAAACTATATAGACGAAATACTCACTCACATGGTAAAGTAAACAGCCTTTAATGAACTGGGCAAAATCATTAAAACCATTTAAAAGTAGATATACACTTTTGGCAACACAGCCTTCTTCAGGACTGCTCCATCATTTTTAGTTCTAATCAATATTTATATCGGAGTCGAGCAGCTCGTGGTCATGATAAGGGCGTGGCATTTCCCGAACATGCACTTAGTGGTGCCAATCACAACAATGGGCCAGCCAACCAATTACAGCACATTTCGTATTTAAGAAGGAGGGGCTTCATTGAAACAGGAAATAATCACCGTGTTCATGCCAGACTGGAGAAAGGTGCTGGAATAATGTAAAATGTGAAAAATACTGTTTGTTTTTTTTAACAATCAAGCATGAAAGCATATTAACACCCCAAAGACAAAATAAAGTCTTTGTAAAAGGGCGTAATAGGACCCCTTTAATGGTCGTGAAGTACGTTTCAAACCAAATGTAGCACCTGATATACAGTTTGTGGTTTCAGACACGGCTCATGTATACAGAGCCCAAATCAATTATGGTGACGTCAATAACATCATTCCTGTGTCATGAGATGACCACCAATGAGGTTTGATATTTTGTTGAATGGCGTGAGTGCGAGTAAGTGACAGAATGATTTTTTTGTTGAACCCATAGTTTAAAGAGCCCCTATCATAGCATTCCTATTTTTTTAGGGGTTCCCAAAAACAGTCAAACGTGCATGCAAGGATAAAAAACACTTTATTTGTCTTATAATATGCATTTATTTTTAACTGATTTGTTCAACGACTCCCAAATGATTCGTTCGACGATTCATTTTCCCTAACACCTCCTTTGAGTGATGCAAATCTGCGGCGATTGGTCAAATGACCCAGTCAGTTGTTATTGGTAAACCATAGACAGAGACTGTCGGCAACGGAACGCCCATAACCAGGATTATAGCTTGTCAAGTGTTGAAAATTGTATATAGTGTTTGAACAAATGTGTCAGAAAAAGTCCACTTTCCATCAAGAGTGAGCTTTGATTGATTAATACTTTATTTATCCTGAGGGAAATTCAGGTATCCAGTAACGTACAAAAACATACATAAAAATATACATGCATTAAAACCTATTAAAATAAAAAAATTCAAATAAAAATATAGCTGCGAGCAGCGATGGCGGGCCCAAGCCGGTGGCACCGCAACCCCGGTTCCTTTAGTTACCTAAAGGCACCCGGGTAGCGGTGCCGAAGGCTTTGGCCCTTTTATGATTAAATGTTAAAACGGCTTGCCATACTCTGTCATTTCGACTAGTCACAATTATGTTACAGATGTCTTAAATGATAATACAAACTATCCAAAATGTAATTACGAATAGACAGAAAGACGTTGTTGATATCTACAATGTTAATTCCGGACAGGCAAACTTAGCTTTTAAATGTTAAAAGGGCTTGCCATACAGGGACGTAGGCTCAGAGAGAGGCTCACCATATTCAAACCAAAATATCTGACTTCCTCTTGGTCCGAGCTAATGACTATGTATTAGAAAGTTGTCCGGCTTGAGGAGTACAATGTATATACCGATTTTTGTAACTGTAGATAAAACTAACAACCCCACTTTTGTCAAAAGGTGGCGCTATTTAGTCCTTGCACATTGCCCGTTTCTGAAACTTTGCACGTCTACTGGCTAATAAATGTGATGTATCTGTTGAGTTTCAAGCAATTTCAATTTCAATTTGACTGTTGAAAAGAAGTGCGCCGATTAGATACTCAGGATCGGTATCGGCTCTGACACTGCCATCTTTGACGAGGCTGATTCAAATTCTATATTGTGCATATACTATTCTGTTATGCACAAAGGCACAAAAACTTTCTAAAGTACCATAAAGTTTTTGTGTACTGTATTATTAGTGTTCTGAAGCTATTATGTGATATAGAAATTAATATTTAAGTCATTAAATTCAAGAACACAAACTTTTCCCTCTCTGCGCCTGTCAGTCATTCTCCATTCAGCATTCAAACAGCACGTCACATTCGGTTACAGTCAATGATGAAACGATCTTCAATGATTCAATGTTAATCCTATTATACTGGATCTTTAAGATAAAGGTCTAAAGGTCTATATTTTCGAATGAAGAAACTTTTTCTTGCTGGACTTTATTGCTGTAACTTAATCGTGTTACTTTCTACCGGGTGTCGGACGCTGTCGGTTAGATCACAACACTAGAGTCAGAGCACTATAATTGTTCTTCACGCACACAGTAACTGAAATTTAAAACCTTTAAAAGAAAAGGCTCAATAAACTATTGCATAGATAGATAATGTATAATACACTGTTCATAAATATGTATTTCCTTTGTGCTTTGAACTTTTCAATACGGACTCAATGCGCTGTAACTTCATGTGGCTTCAAGCACATCATTCTCCGCTCGGGATGCACATAAGTGCTTTGTGCTGCACCGTATTGGAGCCGTAATATCATAATGCAGTGACGTAATGACAGATTATTAATTGCCTTTCAATTATATGTTGCTTTATAGCAGCCATGGCTATATTTTTTTTTAATGATTTTTGTTATCTTGTTTTTCATGAATGTATTTTTCAAAAATAAGAGCAATGTGTATTATCTATTATTAATATGGTTTATAATAGCATTTTTGTCATAGATTATGACAAAGTAATCATATGATCCACCAGCGAGGAACCAGCAGAACAGAGTGAACATTCTTTCTGTTTAGTTCAATCCTACTTAATAGGAATTTATTTAAAATGCTCGCTCTACTCCACACCATTAATGTCTTGTGCGGACATCCGTATTTTGACTTTCGGTTTTAAGTAAGCGATTTAAAAGCTCCCAAGTCCCAGCGGAGTCACACGTTGATTAACCGGTGGGAATATACACAATAGGCCTACCTGATATTGAACACAAGAGAGCAGTATCGCACTACGTATGATTTAGATTATTATTTTTTTATGAATTTTACAACAATTCTGGCTGTTTTTGAACGTAAACACAATTCTTAAATGAAAAAAAAGGAAAAATTGGGGAAGTTATAATATTTGTATAATTTAATTTAGAAACAAATGATGTATAATTACATTTTTAGAAGATATGAGGCTTTTAGTGTTTACTTTTTTGACATTACTTTAATCTTTTGCCATAGTTGCACATGTCTATTGGCTAATAAATGTGATGTATCTGTTGAGTTTCAAGCAATTTCAAGCAAGCTAAGAGTCCCAAAAGCATCAAAAAATAATGTTAAAGTTTGTTTCGTTGCCACGGCATTTTGAAAGTGACACACTTCCTGCTGCCAGTTGGTGGCGCTATAACTTTGACTCACAATAGTCACATCCATGTGATCGGTCTCTTACAGCGAAAACACTGCTGAAGTTTCATCAAGATCAGTTAATGTATGCTGAAGTTATAACACACATCCTGTTCCATGTTTCTCGCCATAATTTCGTTTCCTCGCCACGGCCAAACCGTTCGAGATATCAAAAATCCCGTGGCACTTTTTCATCCTTAATGTCTTGACTTCACGCTGATCGAGTTTCGTCGAATTTGGTTCAGTGCTCTAGGAGCAATAATTTAAATTACATTGCATGTGTTTTAAACACAACCCTAAATAGCCAACTTCCTGTTGGGCTGGGGTAAAAAGTAAGAGTGTGAAGTATATATGAAACGATGAGATCTATATGTGTACCAAGTTTCATATTATTACATGCAAGTGTGTTTGATTTATGGACCAAATTTTCAGACCAAGTTTATTGACCAAGTTAATCTGATTAATAAACTAATTATATAAAACTATTGTCAATTCACTACAATTAAACTAGTTATATGCCTTTACTTATAAAAAATAAAAATAAAAACTTATTTAAAAAATACCAGGCTTGAGAAATGTATTTTCTTTATGCAGGTCATACACACAGCAGTGAAATGGTTAAGCCCCCTCCCCCTGCACACACACACACACACACACACACACACACACACACACACACACACACAGACAGCCAGCCAGCCAGCCAAAGGCTCAGAGTGGCCATATTCAAACAAAAATATCTGACTTTCTGTGGGTCCTAGCTAATAAGTGTCAATTAGAAAGTTGTCCGGCTCGAGGAGTACAATATACATACCAATTTTTGTAACTCTAGTTAAAACTAACCACCCCACTTTTGTCAAAAGGTGGCGCTACTGAGCCCTCACCACGCCCGTTTCTGAAACTTTGCACATGTCCACTGGCTAATAAATGTGATGTGTCTGTCGAGTTTCATGCAATTTGAAGCATGCTAAGGGTCTCAAAAGCATCCTAAAAGCATCCTAAAAGAAGGGTAAAGTTTGATGCGTCGCCACGGCAACAGTTTCAAAGATATCAAGAATCCATTCACAGGTCTACATCTGCCGTATGTTTACATTATACATATGAAGTTTGAAGCAAATCGGGTAAAAATAAAAGGGTGATATCTAAGCATTTTGAAAGTGACACACTTCCTGCTGCCAGTTGGTGGCGCTATAACTTTGACTCACAATAGTCACATCCATGTGATCGTCCTCTTACAGCGAACACACTGCTGAAGTTTCATCAAGATCAGTTAATGTATGCTGAAGTTATAACACACTTCCTGTTTCACGTTTCTCGCCATGATTTCGTTTCCTCGCCACGGACAAACCGTTCGAGATATAAAAAATCCCCTCGCAAACTTTCATCCTCAATGTCTTGACTTCACGCTGACCGAGTTTCGTCGAATGTGGATCAAAGCTCTAGGAGGAGTATTTGACATTCCATTGCGAGCGTTTTACAAACAAACCTCAATAGCCAAATTCCTGTTGGGCTGGGGTAAAAAGTAAGAGCGCGAGGTATAGATGAAACGATGAGATCAACGTGTGTACCGAGTTTCATATTATTACATACAAGCGTGTTTGAGTTATGGACCAAGTGTTCGGACCCCGTTCCAGGGGGCGCTGACGAGCTGCCCTGCCACGCCCGGGTACCATCTTCAGCCCGGCTCTGATGGCCGCGGGTTCTGACCCGTGTGCAAAGTTTCAAGAGTTTTCGAGCACGTTAAGGGCCCCAAAAGTGCCCAAAAGGTAGTAAAATAATAATTATTATAATAATAATAGTGAAGAAAAATAATCCCAAGGAAAACAATAGGGCCTTCGCCCTTTCAGGGCTTGGGCCCTAATTAAAAATACAATTACCCTATAATAGGGCTGGGGTAAACGATTATTAACTAAACGATTAGTTGGGCGATTATTTTATCGATTAGTCGACTAATCTAATGACTAATTGGACGACTAATATAAAGAATATTTTTTCTGCTGCTCAATTAATAAAAAAACAATATCTCAAATAAATACTAGCATACTGAATCAAGATACTATAAGCTGGCTAACATTAGTCTAATGTTATGTATTTGAACACCATCATAACTCTACAACCGCCAAAACCGTGTTATTAAAATATTTTTTACAAACATTTTTTATCATAGAGAATGTTTAAATATTAATATCAGCTGAGGAGGGAAACGGAGTCGGAGGCGGAGTTCACCTACTGATCAGAGCGCGTGCTGACACGGAGTAAAGCCTTGTTTATACTCGACACGTCCGCACGAGCGCGAATGTGCGCACGGCAAAAATGACCCGTTGGTGCGCAAGACCAGGAAGACTGTGGCTGGCTTTGTGTACGCCTTTTTTTGTCACAGCGCGCCCGGCGCCGCGTCCGGGAACCACTTCAAGCCGAATCTGCCCGAGCTTGTACGTCTCACCACACCGGCACCCAGTTTGCGCGTCTAAATTGCGAAGTTTTTTTTCTTAAGGGTTTGTTTACTGTGTGTGATTCATTTAATGGATAGCACATTCACTTCTAGTTGTTTTCGTCCTCTATTCTGCAATGTTTCGGTCTCCCACGTGTGTGTGGCAAGCTGTACCGCCGGAAACATGCAAAAAATAAATAAATAAAGAAGCGTGAAGAGGACAGGAGAGAGCATGGTCTCCTGTGGCACTCCCGTACTACTGACCACAGTGTCAGATTTCCAGCCCTTCAGTCTGACGCACTGTGGTCTGTCCGTGAGGTAGTCCGTAATCCACGTCACCAGTTTCCGTGTAACATGTAACACCAGTATCCATATAATTCCTGGCGAAACTCGCATTGCGGCGGCTTTTGAGGAGCAGTGCATATTATATAGAGCGAAGTCATATTTGGTTAAGTCGTTTAGGAGGTAATTGCCATATTTTCAATGACTGTCTGGTGAATATCAAAAACAAAACTAATTTTACCCCGCTTAGAAGCTGTGCGGAGTGTACACAACACAATATAACTATATTGTGCATGCTACAGAAAACATAACAGCAAACATTATGAATATTATTTACAGATTGTGATTCGGAGGAGGACGAACCTGATCCATATACAATGGATTGCAAATATTACTCGTTGCAAATATGAACTCTGACCACTGATTCTTCACGTGCTCGTCCCTGGACAATGGAAACAAGTGGCTGAACTTTCTTTGCAATATAGAACACAGCATCTTCTCGACATGATGCGATCAAGCTGAAGTATTTGAATGTGTTCTAGAGGTCACTTCAAGTCTGTTCGCGCAGTTGTTGGGAGCGGCCAATGACCTGTCTACGTCACGATGTAACAGCTAATGACTCGTTTCAAAAACAATTCATTTCATAGACACTTTTGAAAGACAATAACTTTATATACGGTGCACTTTCAGATATAAATCTTTGCAGGATGTTTTCATTCCCTTAGAGCAATATTCCACACTACATGAACAGTCATTTTCAAAAATCCATGATAGGTGCTCTTTAAGAATCAGTGTTGCTCTTGTTCAGTTGGGTGGAATGTGAGGTAAAGGGGTTCTGGCAGCCCTGCTGGTATTCATGCTGTTTGAATACTGCTGTTATCTTAATCAGTGCACTGTATCACCCAAGTGTTGAACAAACAGATGGACTTCAGCAATAACGGTTTACTGGAGAGATCTACTAGGGAAAATAAAAGATGAAAACACCTTTTTTAATGATTTAGTATTTGTTTAATTGATTTGTTATCCTTTTATGTTAAAGTTGTTTTTTCTAGTGTCAGACTCTCGTTTGTTTATCAGGGAGACACAGTATATGCTACAGTAGTACCGGAGCTGGACGAGAGAGAACTCGAGAAGACCATCAACCCCATTGTGCAGGAGTACTTTGAGCATGGAGACACCAAAGAGGTGGAGGTGAGCTATAGCTTAAAACAAAGCCAGATGCCAAATAACAGAAACTTTGTTTCAGATTAGTAGCTAAACATTACATTCCCATTCATTGAATACCATTAGAGTAGTGCTTCTCATCCAGGAAGCTGGTGCCCTAAAAAAAGATGAAAAATATTTATAATTCACCCCGTTCACTCTGATGATGTTAATCAAAAATGTTTTGTCTTTTTATTTGGCCTCTAAATATATATATTTTTTGTTTTAGACATTTTCTACGATAATGTGTGCAAACTCCTCTCCTGGTTGTACTTTGATATGTTTTTGAGCTTACACACAGAATTCATTTGTTTATCTGTTAATTCAGGGGTGCAAAACACAATCAGGTCAACACAGTCCTGTAGAATTTAGTTCCAAACCTGCTCCAACACACATACCTGGGCTGCATCCGTAAAGCACACTAATCTCTTAGGATGTCTGGAATCCTGAAATTTAATTTATAGAACTAGGACTGTCGGGCCTTTAAATATTGAAGTCAAAAAAGTTTAAAAACCACTGCATTAGACAATCATATTTGGTCTGATGTACAGTATTCTAATTACTCCTCAGAATGTAAACTAGTTAAATGAATATTTCACCGAAAAATTATCCCACAACTTACTCCCCCTCAAGCCATCCTATGACTTTCTTCTTTCAGCCAAACACAATCAGAGTTATATTAAATAATATCCTGGCTCTTCCCATCTTTGTAATTGCATTGAATAATGCCCGGTTTCAAGCTCCAAAAAGCACATCCATCATAAAAGTAATCCATATGACTTGAGTGGGTTAATAAATGCATTCTGTAGCGAAACGATGGGTTTTATAAAACTGCCAACGACCATACATAATCACAAGAGAGTATATTATGGGAATTTTCATTTTTGGGTGAACCTTTCCTTTAATTCGCCTCCCAGCAATTTTCTACTGTCTTTGTAAGTTTTTGATCTAAACTTTTATTTTTGCTTCTTCCTTTGTCTGGTAGATGCTTCTCAAAGAGCTGAACTTGGGCCATCACAGATATGAGTTCTCTTCTCTGGCTGTTTCTCTGTCTCTGGAAGGCAAGGCCAGCCAAAGAGAGCTCACATCACGTCTTCTCTCAGACTTATCTGGAAAGGTGCTCTCTGAAAGGGACATGTCACGTGCGTTTGACAAAATACTTAAAGAACTGCCAGACCTCATCCTGGATACACCGGAGGCCCCACAGGTTAGGGAAAAATGTCATATGACAATGAAAAATTCCATAAAAAGGACAATATTATTAAAAGTTCAATCAAGTTTTTTTTTTTTAATTATTATTTATTCATCCACATGTCGTTCCAAACCTGTATGAGCACATTCTTTATAATACCTGGTTCCTTTCTTTTCTTCAGATGCTAGGTCAATTTATTGCACGGGCCATTGCTGACCACGCTTTACCCATGAGTTTCCTTGACTGTTACAAAGGCAAGGTGGATTGTGACCATGCCAGGTGAGCTTGATGTGACAGTCTTGGTTATTTGGGTAATTTGCTTGGATTTTCACCTGGCAGTCATGTGTCCAGATTATGAAGAAGTATTCTGTTACTCAGTACATGAACCTAAATTTTATGCGGAACCTTTGCATCACATACCAAATTGTAATTAATGTGAAAAGTGTTGAATGCAGCACTTAGAATTGCGAGGTGCTTTATTTTTAGTTAAATTCAGGGAGTCACGATGATAGTAGAATTTTGGGTCAGAGAGTGGTATTTGGTGTGGGAATTTACCACCTGCCACCAGCCAAATGTGATTACAGTGGCAGAAAGATTTGCCTTATCACTACGTAATGGTGGTGACTACCTCTGATTGGCCTTTGAAAAATGCTTTTGCTTTGTAACAATGAAGCATGCTTGTAGAGGTAGCATTTCATTATCTTGTAGCACAGATGGAAAGAACCATATCCCAATAAGAGTCAACCCACACGCAGCCTAATTGGCTAGAGGTACTAGTCGACTAGTCATTCAAGCAGTTTGCACCTTCCTAATAGGGATTTATGAATGGTGTCTATTTGAATTAACAAGTTAAAATGGCTACTATTAGAAGAACTAAAGAACTTATCAGTCATTGTGGCTTGTGGGCAATGAAGGTAATTTCCCACCCTACATGCCATGGGGCCCTTGATTGAATATGCACTTTTATCTAATATGTGAAATCATTCTTTTTGTTCTTATTTTCTGTATTATCTGCTTCTGACCCACTGATATAATGCTCCCATGTTTGTGTGTTCATGCCTTTATAACTGTTAGAGCTGCACTGGACAGAGCATCAGTTCTGCTCTCCATGAAGAGGGAAATCATGCGGCTTGATAATGTGTGGGGAGTTGGTGGCGGCCAGAGGCCTGTCAAACATCTCATCAAAGAGGTAAAGCGAGGCCGTATGCATTTCAAATCCCTCCATCATTACCGATGATGGTACTAATGTAGGCCTATCCTATGATCAGCCAATCTTTAATTCAAGTGCTTTTAAACAATTCAAGCGCAATAGGCTTTTATCACACTTCCCCGTTCGAATAGCGGGGGAAAAAACATCTGCTCCAGCCTGTATCAATGGCTGTGCCCATAGCATGGGATTGGTTTGTTTTTGTAAAATTCAGCACATATACCTCTTCTAAAGACACCAGCCTCAGTTTACAATCATTAATTGAATATTGTGAAACAAAGAAAACATTTTTCATAATATTCCGAAGCATAGTTTGTGATATAAAGGGGAGCATGCAAGCCATACTGTATGTGTGAGCGCTATACTTTTACTAACGGGCATTTCTTCATAAATATAACAATTTTTGATAAATGCATTATGCATAATTATATATGGCATTATGCATTGTAGAACTTTATGTGGGCCTATACATTTAGGAACAGATATTGGGTTCTGCCTGATAGATTTTGTATTTTCAGTTATCAGATTCATTTACATTGTGACGTGTATCATAATTAATCCACTCTGTCGGTGTCTGCAAAGGTGTGTGTCAAATGGCCCATACAGATGAATGGCCCACAGAAACTGATTGGTGTGAATGACAAAGACTCAGCATTGCTCAGAGTGGATTAGCATCTCCTGTGGGAGGTCCTAACAGGTTTCTATTGTTTGTAGCCCATAATCTTCTTTATAAAGTTCTGTCTCAGACAGAACATTGGGTTAAGATTGTTGAAGGGTGACATGATAACATCGCTGCTGAAGGACTGCTACACTACAAACCTTCAATAAATTCTTCTCCCCACAAGAACTGGTCAAGCTTACTTATTTTATGTATTGGAGAAATCCAATACATTGGCGAGCCACTGAAACCACTGCTCGGCATCACCAAAATCTAACATGCCCAAAGTCAAGCAACATAAAAGTATCGTAAAATTAACAACAAGTAACGTGAAAAGTTACTTTTCATATGGGGTAACTAAGTAAAGTAACAGATTACTTTTGTTTAAAGAAGTAACAAGTAGCATCAAACATCTATTTGGTCCTTTCTGTGCGTCTTAGTCCAAGGATCATCGCTGCCGATTTTGGACAAAATTTGCAGTAGGAGTTGACGAAAACTTTAAAATGACAGTCAAGCAAAATTCCCCTTTGGCTAAGCCACGCCCTAGAATGTAGATTGACCAATCACAGCGCAGCCAAGAACGAGCTCCCACAGAGGTCCGACACTTTTTCACAGCGCTCCATTGACTTTCAACACAGGCGTCTCATATTTTTGGTCTCGGCAGGCTATTACCGTCGTAGTTTTATCCAAAATATGGTTAAACGTTGTGCCTCGGGCATTTGTAACAGAGATACGCGTTTCCCTGAGAGGTTTGAGGGGGGTGTCCGTTTTTTCCCTTCCCAAAACCGAAGTAAAATCCTGACAGTGACAAGTGTCGTCTTTGGATTAAACTGTGTGGACGTCCTCAGTCAGCAGATAAACAAGCACATCTTTTTTTACGTCTAACCTTACTGTGAGTGTGAAGTTAGACCGTTTTATAATGTTTTAGGTTATGATTTCGGTTCTCATACCGGTTGTTGATACGCTAGCACACGCTGCTAATAAATACAACGTTATACTCGTGTAGTCCGTTTGCTTTGTAATAACGATTATAGAAGTGAATAGAGACCTACCCAGCTTTGCATGAACAGTGTTGCTCCCTGATATTGTTAGTCCCAGCCTCCTCCTCGATTAGTAGGAAATGCGGTGGTTCATTTTTTGACTGTGACCGGTGACGTTATGCTTTTGCCTCTATTTTGGATGCCTTGTTGTTTCTTGCGTTTCACCTGTATGTCTTGAATATAGCCTTCGAACGCATATTTCAGCCCCTTTTGCCTACTTCTATCGGACACTTTATTTACTGCTTTTAGTGCTTTATAAAAGTTTGATAGCATTTCAGCAGGAAGAGCTGTTACAGCATAAGCCACGCAGAGCGCAGATGAAGTTTGACGGCAACAGTAACTAAGGGGGGCGGAGCTTAGCCAAAGGTGAATTAAGGAAAATTATAAATAGAATATTGTTGGAATTAGTATAACCCATGAAATATAGAACAAAGAAAAGAAAACAAAGTTTTAGTAAAAACACTATCTCTTGAAGGCTAGGTGTTTCTTCAAACTTCTTGGGCACAAAACCCACATGTAAATGAAGAAACTCAAATTTTGTTCCACATCCTGCACCTTATTTGCTGTTTATATATTATGTTGCTGTTTGTTTTACAGATGAACCTGCTGCTAAAGGAGTACCTGGTGTCAGGTGTGCTCTCTGAGGCTGAGCACTGTCTGCGAGATCTAGAAGTGCCACACTTTCATCATGAACTGGTCTATGAGGTATGGATGAACATTTCGCATACTAAAATAGTGTCATCATTGTCATATATGACAATATATAAAAATGACTATATACAGTTGTGCTCAAAAGTTGACATACCCATTGCAGAATCTTCAAAATGCAAATTATAAAAAAAAAAAAAAATCATACAAAATGCATTTTTTTATTTTTTTTATTTAGTACTTTCCGAAATAAGATATTTAACATGAAAGATGTTTACATAAAGTCCATGAGACAAAAAATAAATAAATAGCTGAATTTATAAAAACTACCCTTTTCAAAAGTGTACGTGCCCCTGATTCTTAATACTGTGTCTTTACCTGGATGATCCACAACTTTTTTGTTTTGTTTTGTGATGGTTTTTTGAGTTCCTCGTTTGTCCTGAGCAGTTAAACTAACCAATGTTCTTCAGAAAATCCCTCAGGTCCTGCAAATTCTTCAGTTTTCCAGTATCTTTTGCATATTTGAACCCTTTCCAGCGGTGACTGTATGATTTTGAGATCTTTTCACATTGAGGGACAATTGAGAGACTCAAACAAACTATTTAAATATGTTCGAACATTCCTTATATATTTTTCCTTTAGCACTGTCCTTTGGAGACAACAAAAGATAATTTTAAATGAGTATTTAAATTAATTAATACAATCTACCTTGATCTTCAAACGCAAAAAGTTTTCATCCCTGGCCCTTAATCCATCATGTTTCCTTCTGGAGCATTAGTGAATATATTTAACATAAAAGATTATGTTAAATATAACATAATCTTTTGTTCACTAATGCTCCAGAAATGTTCACTAAATGTTCACTAATGCTCCACTAAATGTTCACTAATGCTCCAGAAGGAAACATGATGGATTAAGGGCCAGGGATGAAAACTTTTTGCTCTTGAAGATCAAGGTAGATTGTATTAATTAATTTAAATACGCATTTAAAATTATCTTCTGTTGCCTCCAAAGGACAGTGCTAAAGGAAAAATATATATATACCGGTATTTAAACAAAATAAGAAAAATTGTTATCTTCATCTTGTTCAAAAGCTTTAATTTAACATCTCTAAATGCATTGTGTTCACTTCTGTAAAATATCTTATTCAGGACATTACTAAATAAAAAATGACATGCATTTTGTATGATTCCTCTCATTCCTCTTCATTTTGATTTCTCTCACCTGTTTTTCTGTCTGGTTGATATAGGCTGTGATTATGGTACTAGAGTCTACAGGTGACACAGCCATACAGATGATGGTCAAACTCCTCAAGGTGTTGTGGCAAACTGGCCTAATCACTCTGGACCAGATGAACAGGGTTTGTACAAACTTAACATCTTTTTTCTTTTTTAAAGCTATTGTGCAGCTGGGTGATATACTGGTACCAATTAGCTAAAACTGCCTGAACATTCTACCATTATTCTTCTAGTAATTTCAGATCCTAATGATTGTTTACTATAGTTATTTTTTTAATTATTAGCCAACAGATGGTACTATTTATAATGGCATAGAACCATTGACATAACATGGAAACACGTCTTCTGAGATTCTACATCTATTCTGAAAATTAGTTTTTTTCCACATACAATATGTGCAATGGCACATGTATGTGCTAGAGACTGCTGTGTTCTGCTTGCTGACAGTTACACACGCACACACGCAAAACCTTTAAACGAGTATATAAACTTGCATATGGTTTTTCATGGTCCAAAACAAATTAAACGGCAATCGCGGACTTCTCTGCACAGGATATGCACGATTTCACCTGCTGGTATTCCAAATGCTCTAAAAAGGCATCATTTATGCCATTTGAAATTGTTACAAATTACTTTGTATGTTTTAAAGCAATATTTAATAATGAACTTAACATACATTTTTTTTTTATTTGAGAATATGTTTTTTTTTTTTTTTATAATAAAAAAAGTATCGTTGTGGAATTGAATTGTGATTACTAAAATTGGAATCATAATTGGATAGTGAGGTGCCCAAAGTTTCCCACGATTCAATACGATAGTGGATGGTGACTTATTCCAAGTTTTTTTTCCTGTCATCACTAAATTTGGGTTTGTTAATCTTTAGATCATGGTTGTGTTCAAAACTGTTTGCTTTTGTGACGTCAGTAGAAGTTTCTCAGCGAAGTTTGTTTGTCAACTTGTATTGATTTCCAAGTTGACCTGGTCATTTGAAGGTTGCAGCTTCAAACCCTGCAGAGGAAAGTCTGAGCCATTATCATTGTGCTTGTGAGCAAGGGACATAAACCCACATAGTAGTCACAAAGTAGTCTTTATTTATTAATTTTCCGTATTTTTAATAATCTGGCATTAAACTTGTTACAGTTTTAATAGTTTAGCTTTATCTGACTTTCAAGTCAATAATTCACCTTTGGCTAAGCCACGCCCTAGAATGTAGATTGACCAATCACAGCCCAGCCAAGAACGAGCTCCCACAGAGGTCCGACACTTTTTCACAGCGCTCCATTGACTTTCAACACAGACGTCTCATATTTTTGGTCTCGGCAGGCTATTACCGTCAAAGTTTTATCCAAAATATGGTTAAACGTTGTGCCTCGGGCATTTGTAACAGAGATACGCGTTTCCCAGAGAGGTTGGAGGGGGGTGTCCGTTTTTTCCCTTCCCAAAACCGAAGTAAAATCCTGACAGTGTTAAGTGTCGTATAATGTTTTAGGTTATGATTTCGGTCCTCATACCTGTTGTTGATACGCTAGCACACGCTGCTAATAAATACAACGTTATACAGTACTCGTGTAGTCCGTTTGCTTTGTAATAACGATTATAGAAGTGAATAGAGACCTACCTAGCTTTGCATGAACAGTGTTGCTCCCTGATATTGTTATAGTCCCAGCCTCCGTCTCGATTAGTAGGAAATGCGGTGGTTCATTTTTTGACTGTGACCGGTAATGTTATGCTTTTGCCTCTATTTGGATGCCTTGTTGTTTCTGTATGTCTTGAATATAGCCTTCAAACGCATATTGCAGCCCCTTTTGCCTACTTCTATCGGACACTTTATTTGCTGCTTTTTAAAAGTTTGATAGCATTTCAGCAGGAAGAGCTGTTACAGCATAAGCCATGCAGAGCGCAGATGAAGTTTGACGGATGTAGCAACAGTAACTAAGGGGGGCGGGGCTTAGTCAAAGGTGAATTGAATTCCAAAAAATTCAACAATTTGGATCTGACCAGGTTAAATATGGAATTGCTCCAACATTTTTCATCAAGTTGTTTGTGAGAGAATTAATGGGTTTGCATGTTATACACAGGGCTTCCAGCGTGTTTACGATGAGCTGCCAGAGATTAACCTGGATGTGCCTCATGCACACTCCATTATGGAAACCTTTGTGGACCTTTGTTACCAGGAGTCAGTCATCACTAAGCAGCTAAGGGATTTCTGTCCAACCAGGTCAGAGACTTGTCTTCCCTATTTATCGATGTTGTAAATTTGTTAATGTCTGACACTTGATGTTAATTCTCATCCTGTGAACACTAGCATTATAACAAATGTATTCCTGTGGCCAACAGGGGGCGTAAGCGCTTTGTGAGTGAGGGCGACGGAGGGATCGTGAAAAGCTAGAATAATCAGGAGAGCTCCGCAGGACCCTGATGCTGAGCAGGCTGGGATCTCCTGCACTTCCCTGGGAGTCTGTCCTCACTGTCTTCATTGCTCATCTTCCGAGTAGACAGAAATATTCAGCCTCAGAAATGATATCATGTCGAAGAGTGACAACTGAGAAATGCTGTTCTCTCCTCTATTACAGGCTTTGTTTCATTTGTTTGTGAATTTATGTGTGTTTGTATGCAGCTTAAATGCTGCAGGGAAAAAACGAAGTGAGGGGAAATCAGCCACTTCAGATGGCCATGAAATACAGTTTGGGTTGAGGGATTAATTTTGCTTTATCTTTTTTAGCTTAAGTTGTTTTTCTGTTTTTGTTCACAAGTGTTCACTTGTTAGTGTTCACAGTGTTCTCCCAATTATTGCAATTTAATGCATAAAATATGAAGTACTTAGAATAAGGTATTAAAAGAATGTGCTATTCAACAGAAGTGCTTAATCTAACTGTTGGGCCAAAATACAACATTTTCTGAAGTGATCGGGGTCACTTCTAATTGTTTTCATTTGATTGCATGTTTATATTCAAATTTGTCTTAGTGCATAAAGAAATCATACGTTTACAGATTCACAAGGATCTGGGAAATTTTTGGTTAGCTGCATACAGACTTTTTTTTGTTTCTATTTTTTTTCTCAATGCTTATTCATGGTTTATGTCAAATGCATGTCAAGAAATCCTAACTTTAATGTTTCTGGCTAGTGTTGACATCTTTGTATGTTTTAGCTGCCAGGAAATGGAGGAGAGAGAGACCATCATCACCTCTCAGTCAGGCTGATGCCTGTGAGATTTTTGTCTCCCATCTTTATAGCATCCTAAAGTTTTGTACCCCTGTTTGATGAAGTTCAGAACATCCATTTTCATTTTTAGTCCTTGTATTTATTTGGACAAAGAGAAGCCAGCTGAGACAACTAATGGTAATATCTATCATTTTTGAAGTGGTAAACTTTCCAGCAATGAATACTTAGCGTCAGCTATAATGGGTGAACTATGATGGGAGGACTTTTTATTTCTTTGTTATGCGATCAGTCTTTGTGTCTGCTTGTTCATGGGACACTTTTTCCAAAGCAAAAACATTATTTTTGTCAACCAGCAGTTCCAGAGTTCCAGCATTGAAGACACTAATTATTTCAATAAAAATTCATAATGCTCACATTCCTGTTTCTTTGTGATAGTTGATTTTTTTGATACTGAATTGTCACCTGTCGTGTGTACTTCAGCAGTGCTCACACATTTTAGGTAATTACTTTTAAGCTGATTACTTTTGACCTAATTTATTTATCACATTGATTTGTAGAATTGTTTTTTTTTTAATTGTTTTTTTTAATTTTTTTAATTTTTTTATTTTTAAATCGGATCGGGTTCACTATGCACATTAATTATATAAAATTCACTGTAGGAAAAAGTTCACGTGGCCGTCGTCAGATTTGGAAAGGCTCTTTCACGGTGTCTTCAGTCGATTTCAGTGAGGCTCGATGTTTAATGGGATGAGTCGTTCCTTACTCGGAAATGAATAAAATATGTACAGTCTTGTACCCTTGACTTTTTCTGGATTTTCTCTACGTTTTTTTCACTCTAAATGATACGTATGCTTATGATTTCAGCTGTAGGTTATCCTCAGACATGCTCTAAAACTTTTTAGATATGGATTTAACAAAAGGCACCAGGCTCTTTTGGGCTGTGGGCGGGACTGTGATGCTGACTAAAAGAAAAGAGAACGCACTGTCAGTGAATGTCCTCCCGACGTTGGTATCCAAACTAAATAGGCTACTTAGCAAGAATGCAAAGTGTGTGTGCACATGTGCCATGATGATAATAATTAGGCGCATCTTAGAGAGAGTCTGAAGAGAGTCTAGGGTGGATCAAACTGTGTGTGAGAGAGGGCGCGATACTGTGTGCGTGTGTGTAAACAGTGAAGCGCATGGACTCTATCTAAACACTTGTTCAGCTGCTTTCTTGAGGGCTTGCAACCAACTACCGCACACATCTTTCCCGAACCACCTTTCTTCATGTTGTAATTGTTATTATCAGTGCTTTGTCGGCACAACGGAGCTAGCTAGCAAACAAACCCAGCCCGCCAGAACGGAAGTGGGTTGCATCAATGGGAGGAGTTTAGGATTTAGATTGGAAACGGCTCATAAACTTATACATTGTTGAGTTTCTTTAGAAATAAATAATGAACAAATGGGGTCTTTGAATGCCTCATATGTATTTGCTGTCAAAGTGATGCCAAAATGAATGGGAGTCAATGGAATGCTTTGAAATACTTTTTGCCTCGTTCAACAGATTTTTTGGTCATCTAAATTTGAAAATATTAATAGGAAAAGACTACGGTCTATAACAATTAATTTTTGCATTAATAATAAAATTAGAGAGGTATCCTACAAAATTGTACACAGAATTTACCCTGTATGGAGTTACTTTCTGAACGTTTCTATTTGAATATTGAGGTGTGAATTTTGTGGCAATGCCAAAATAATCTGTAACTCATGTTTTTTAATTGTATTTATTCGAAAATGTTTTGGTTGGATGTTTCAAATTTCATTTTCAAAGTTGTTTGAAAACATGCATACAAATTGAGCTGTTTGATGTTGTATTTATTTATTATTATTTATTTTTTTTCTTCTTCTTTTTTTGTGCAGGACAATGTTGATTCCAAAAGCATGATGTGCTTCCTTATACAACTTTTCATATTACTTGGAAAAAATCACATTCATGTGGAAAAAAGGGCTAGAGCTAAGCCAAGCTTTGAACACTATATAAAACAGAGATTAAAACAAACAGTTCATACTCCAGACCAGTTGGTGGCAATAGTAAACTTTGGTCGCCATAAACATCACAACAAGAAGAGGAGTACAATGTGTGTTTGGTGTTTACCGTACGTGTAATTTTTTTTAATTGTTTGTTTTAATTTTTCTGGATGTGCTCACGCAGAGTGGGAATTATTCACGCGCAATTAAAAGGGTATTGTTGTTTATTTCCTTTGATTTATTTTATGTTATTATACAGATTACACACGGATGTTTAATATTGTTGTGGAATGCTAAATGGCACGATACAATACACTATCATTATCTAAGAATGTAAATAAGTACTCTGTAGACCTGTGTTTACCCATTTCTGATTAGATCTAAGTCTTGATCAAGCTTCTTTGATTTAATAATTTGGTGTTAATTTATTTCAGAGATAATTTTAGCTACCCATATAAAGCAAGACATTTAGTTAACTGACCTAAGAATGAAAAGGCATTTAATATTTTAAAGCTTTTATTCTTTCTCTAGTCTCTAGTCTCAAAGACATGAGCAGCATCGGATATTTCCTCTTTAGCAGATACTGTGTTAAAGATGAGCAAACCAGTCTACTTTACCAAAGCTAAAGAGGACGGAAATCTCTGGATAGAAAAAAAGAGAGAAGTCAAGCAAACACTTTCTGGGGAGGAGGCCAGAGACTTCTACCAAACCCTGCTACAAGAGAGAGATGGAGAAAGGCCAAAAGAGAGAGAAGCAGCTACCATAAGGAGAAGAAGAGCAGGTAGAGATGGAGATAATAAGTAGAATTACACAGCATCAAAAAAAATAAATAATATATGTATAAAAAACTAAGATGAGTTGATACATACCTGTCTCGTCTCAGGGCGTGCACTCAATCGCTCTGGCACGCAAGACAGTTTGATTGCACTTAACTTAGCCCATTTTATTCATTAGGTGCCAAGCAGAGAAGCGACCAAACACCTTCACGTTTTCCCTATTTAAATACAGTTACACAAGTAGAGTAACTCGACCAAGAATGGTGACACAAAATAAAACGCTGCACTTTTTTAAGCGTATAAAGTGTATAACTATAATTTATGGCGGAATACCACAGCAAGTGATAGGGAGTGAGATTAAAGACACGGCACCAAAAAAGCTGGAAATGGTCATGAAAAATGAAACTATGACAGACCTAGTACCCGCTTAGCATGTATAATGTGAATATTCTTTATTAATTTTTATCACAAATCACATGAAAATCACACAGAAATCATATTGTAAATTTGTATGGTTCTTCTCTTTACTTTTCATTTGTAGAGACATTTGTTTCACTTTTTATCACGGAGATAAAAACTAGGAAGTGGATTGTACAAATATTCATCGAATGAGAGAGTGGGCAGATCACTGATGTAAATCAGGAATTGGGGAGACAGAACTCAGTGAGAAATTAAGAGAAATGCTATTCTGTATGACAAAATATTCAGATATCATGCTAAATAGAGAATAAAGCAACATTCCAAATATGTGCAACTTTTGACAAGGAGCCATAACAGACACTGTTCAGTGAAGCTATGTGAACACAAAACCACAGCAGACGTGATCGAGTGAATTCATTCGAGTTGATAATCTATTCACAATATAACGTTAAGTTGGCCGAATGGGGAAAAGCTAGTTATGCTAGTTTTAGTTATGCTACACCAGTGGTTCTCAAACCTGTGCTGGTGGACCCCCAACACTGCACGTTTTCTTTGTCTCCCTAATCAAACACACCTGATTCAACTCATCAGCTCATTAACCCATGTGATAATGAGCTGGTGTGTTTGATTACGGAGACAAAGAAAACATGCAGTGTTGGGGGTCCTCCAGGACAGGTTAGAGAACCACTGGGCTACACCGACGTGAGCCTCCGTTAAATATATACGAACCCTGAAGGAGTGTATTTTGGCACAGAATAATGATCAACTCGTATTGTGACATTTTGGCCATGTTTAGCAGGAGAATCCAACTCTTTAACAGCTAAATTAAGTGTCAGTATGCATGAAATAGCATTAGACATCCCCTTTTATTTATAATAGTTGTAGCTGTTTAAGATGCATTACTTTACAGTTTTATCATGATAACCCATTATCTTTTGACTTGAGGACCCAGTCGAAGAAGAAGAGAAGCACAAAGACAAGACGCTTCTTATGTCCAACCGGTCAGCACCTCAGAGCGTGATGGACACAAACTTCTCCGATATGCCCAGGAGGGCAACATTCGGGCCTTGAAAGACCTCTTGCGGTGTGGCTATGATGTCAACTTCCGTGATGATTTTTACTGGACGGGTGTGATGTGTGCAAGTAAGGCAGGAAAAACAGAGGCTGTTCGGTTGCTGCTTCAACACGGCGCTGCTTGGGTGGGAGTGGTGGACAAACAGGTGCATGACTTTCAATTTTGAAAAACTCTCTGCCTCTAGTGGAGATGTATTGGAGGATGTATTGCTTTTTTCCCCCCATTGGCTTCTACTTATTTGTTAACAACTTGTCAATATGGTCAGTTGATTGATAGTGGAGCTATGATAAATAGATCAGGTTGTACTGCTGGCCACTCTAACGTAACTACCAAAGTACTTAGATGATTAATTGATCTGATTGTAATTATTATGCACTTAGATATCAGTCACTCAATAATGCCCCAGGAACTAGACTTTTGTGCATTATTACTAATAAGTCTAGTAATACTAATATTATTATTAATAATAAGATGTTCTCTTTGGGAGATGTTGAATTAAGCCTAGTTCTTACTACATTATTTTAAGCCCGATTTGCAAATCGTTGAGCTCGCCGACAGGTCAGGGTGTTATGTCCAAATCGTGGGGGATTAGCCGATGATGAATGCTCACCAATCTGTTAGTGTGAAAGAGCCAACAACGCATCAAAGGCGCTCACAGACACGTCGCCAAGGCCAGAAAAATATCTAGCGTGTTAGATATCCAGAGCTGTCGCATGACTCAACCTCAGAGATGTCATGAACTACAGCCAATCAGAGCAAGGCATGGGTTGAGTTCAACGGGTAAATCTTATTTTTCATTTTTTGCGTTTTCAAAAAGTTTGCAGGCAGCTCTAGTTTCTGTCTGACGTCCATATTCGTGTGTTGTGTTCGTCTTCTTCGCTGGGTATTATTGTGCAGTACGTGCGTGCTGTTTCGCGTCATTTCTGGTTCATTTTATCGAGTGATTTTTCGTGACACAACATGGTTTGTCGACAAGATAGAATCGTTGGGTGACCGAGTTGTTGTCAACTCGTGTAGTGCGTTACCTCCTCCTGTTGCGGATCAATCACGTTGTGTCGTGTGGTGTGAACAGCTCATCAACTTGAACACTCCTCTGATTTCAAAGAGAGCAAGTTCAATGTAGTGTGAACCGCA